ACTGCCCCACAGGGTCTCCAAGGTAGAGACTCTTTACTGAAACCCAGAGCCTCATCTTTCTCCTGCAGAGCAGCCAGTGCCTCTGCACTGCCACCTTGTGGTTAGCAGCTGATGCTTACCCCCTGCACCAGCAGAGCTCCTTGAAGTGAAGCAGCAGGTGAACAACAAAACAGAAGGGCCCTCAAGGAGAAGGACTGCCACCCCGGCAGCAACAATGGGCTCAAACATACCTGCTGCCGTGAAGATGGTGTCAGATCGGGAGACGCTGCGTCCTGTTACGCGTGGGGTCGTGATGACTCAGCACCGACTCCCCAGCACCTGACACCAACATAACAGGGGCTCCCGTCCCTGGAGTCTTCAGCTACTGATCGGCCGTCTAAGAAGCAGATAGTGGTCTCTCCCTATACAAAGAAAAGAGCGACAATCAGATTCAAGAAAACAGTTAGTCCTAAGGACTGAGGGACCCCATGAACCACAGCCCCCATGACCCTGAGACCAGAAGAACTAGATGGTGCCCGGCTACCACTACCAACTGCTCTGAGCAGAATCACAGAAGATCCTGGACAGAGTGGGAGAAAAACGTAGAACAAAATTCAAAATCATAAAGTAGACCAGACTTGCTGGTCGGACAGAGAGCAGTGGAACCCCTGAGGCTGTGGCCTTTAGACACGCTTCAGGCCTGGAACTGTACCCCCTCCTGGGGATGTCCTCGAGCTGAACCACAGACAGGCCTCCAAAGTAAACTAGGACACTAATGAGGAAAGTTCATCTCAGAATAAACAAACACAGGGCAGCCTTTGCCCCCAAGCAAAGCTCAGAAGGCCGGAAGGGCAGGAAGCGATGAATGGAACGGGGACCAGGGAGGACGTGGGAAGAGAGCTGTTACACTGAGGGGGTTGCAACCCAGGTCACGAAACCAAACGTGTGTGAACTGTGAATGGGAAAGTAATTTGCTCAGTAAACTTTCACCCAAACCACAATTTAAACAACAGAGAGAGAAGTAGCTGCTCCAATACCGGAAGTTCCCGATTCTCTTCCTTCTCTGGGAGAAAGAGATTTTTTTTTTAGATTGTGGTGAAAATATACCCACCAAAAACATCTGCCAGCACATGACTTCCATGTTTACAATGCAGCAACATTTATTACATCTTCTTGTGATACCACCATCGCTGCTCTTTTCTGAAATGTCCCACTGCCATTAACGTAAACTCAATGCTCTCCACACAAAACCC